TGTATAACTCAGAAAAATTTTTAAAGATGGTTACCTAGGCTAGGCACAGTGGCTGGCGCCTGTAATCCCAGAACTTTAGGAAGCTGAAGCAAGAGAATCACCTGAAGCCAGGATTTCTGGACCAGTCTGGCAAACATGTGCACCCCATTTCTTTTTTTTTTTTTGAGACAGAGTTTCATTTTCTCACCCTCCGTAGAGTGCTGTGGCTGCGTCACACTGCTCACAGCAACCTCCAGCTCTTGGACTTAGGTGATTCTCTTGCCTCAGCCTCCCCTGTAGTTGCGACTAGAGGCACTGGCCACAACGCTCAGCTATTTTTTTGTTGCAGTTTGGCCGGGGCTGGGTTTGAACCCGCAATCCTCGGTATATGGGGCCAGCGCCCTACTCATTGAGCCACAGGCACCGCCAGTGAAACCCCATTTCTACAAAAAAATAAATAAATAAAAGTTAGTCAGGTATGGTGGCACATGCCTGTAGTTTCAGCTACTTGGGAGGCTGTGGCAGGAGGATCACTGGGGCCCAGGAGTTTGAGGCTGCAGTGGTTTATGAATATGCCACTGCAATCTAGCCTAAATGACAGAGCAAGACCGTGTCTCAAAGTAAAAAAAAAAAAAAGAAATTAGGGTGGAAAAGACAGATATTGAGACTTCTCTAAAAACACCAATACACCTTATCTGGTAAGACTTGATTTTGGAAATATGTAACTATTTTACATCATTATAAAGCAAAATTAAATTTTAATTTAAAAAATTTGATTGTTAAAAGCAGTATCACCCAAATGAAGCTACCATAGTAATCTGACTATATCTAGGCTTTTACAGTAAGGACCCAAACAGACAAAAATCTAAAAATGTTTTTAGTAATATTAATTTTTAGTAACAATACTGGTATTAGAATTCTGAAACCATGTGTATATATATGTATATACAGTAATATCAGTTATTAATATATGTATAATACAAACATAGGTAAGCATGTATATACACAAATATACAGATATTAATAAATAGATGTGAAATAACTGTTTTGAAAACACAGCACTTTGGACATATGGCTAATTCCTGGCTAGGGACAGAAAATACCTGGACAACCGGAGCCTGGAAAGTCTGATCAGAAAACAAAGAAGCCATCAAAGAAATCTGGGGCCAAGTCTCAATGCTAAAGAAGTCATCCAGGTAGTATAAACTACTTTATACAACAAAATGCAAGGCAGACTAAGGAAAAAAACCCCAAATGGTAATGGGCTTTGGCTTTGAGTGCTTATCTCCTTTGTTCCTTGTTCTTTCCCTCGAGCAAGTCTTCTATCACCTCCTTATTATATGGAAAAGGGATTTTTCTGCAGTCTGGAGTTCATTCTCACTCCTTCCTAAAGATCCTCGGCTCCAATCTCTCTCCCCGTCTCACAGAACAGTTCCTTGGAAATTCTCGCCCTCAGCATTTCCCAGTCTTTCCCAACATTGTCGTTATCTAAGGAGTCCTCTCCTGCCCACAGCATTTTAACACCCTTCTGTGAAAATCTCCGGCCCAGTAGTTTCCACACCAAGCTGTGGCAGCCAGGGCTCACCCAGCACCAAGGTGCCCCGGTCTCCGGGACAGAGACTCAAAAACCCCCTTCTGCTTTTTTGACTCCTCAAAGAAAAACAAAATGAAGTCCTCCCCCTGTTGTTTAGTTCTGCTTCTTTATAACTGGGGTGAGGCTGGGCCTTTTTTCTCAGCTTCGCTAGATTTCCGCATCCTGGAGAAAGAACGTGGTTAACATTAACATAACATAAGGAGTGCTCACCTTTACTCCCCTCCCCAGACCACACTTCCTGACCTACAGCCAGCAGGATCTTCTTACTTCATCTGGAAAGCAAAATAACATGAAAACCCCTCTTGCGGTGCTCTTTGCTGCTCTTCATTGTGAGTTTTATTAGTACGTATTCCATTTCTTAGCCCCTTAATGAGTAGAGATTAAAAGGTGGATACCATCTCTACTTCAGGGAACTCCAGTTGAAGAGGCAAATATAAAAGCAGTTAGTTGTAATGCTACTTTTTACATTTAATTGCCAAAACTCGCATTCCCTCCACTTTGAGGTAGGCTGTGGAGTTTGGCAGTGGGGTGTTGGGCTCTCCCTGAGAGTCTGATCTAGGGCTCCCTGTGTAGTAAACCGGGAGTCATCACAAAACTCGTGGGCTCACACATGCTTAAAATGCCTGGTAATGAGAAAATGCCAATTCGTTTCCCTCCCTTCATGCCTACCGAGATTATTTTTAGGTTTCTATCTCAGCTTCTCCATTACATTATAAATCCTTTGAGGATAAGGCCATTAGTATTAACTGTTACAGTCAATAATTCTAATGAAAAGCATATTTGTTCTTCATATTAAAACATGGTAATGGCAGAAGTTTTCTAAACTAAGCAGGCATTTATACGAATTCCAAACATTAAAGATTCCCAGTGAAGTTACTGATTTCTTTTGGATATCTAGACCACCACTCCAGCGGCTCTCAACCTGCGGGTCGCAACCCCTTTTTAACCATGAAAATATAGGGTGGTGCCTGTGGCTCAAAGGAGTAGGGTGCCAGCCCCACATACTGGAGGTGCAGTGTTCAAACCTGACCCTGGCCAAAAAAAACCCCAACAAACCAATAAAAATACATTGCAGCATTAGGAAGGTTGAGAACCACTGATTTATACCATTTCATTTACTTTGGTCTTCTCAATGGGTATGTGTAAGGTAAACACAGCTTCTCAGTTAAATCCAAAGCTGGACACAGCAAAGTCTGTGAACAGCCAGGTTGTAAACATTTTAAGTTGTGTGGGCCACATACTGTCTTTCTTTTTTCGTTGCAGTTTTTGGCTGGGGCCAGGTTTGAACCCACCACCTCCAGCATATAGGGCCAGCGCCCTACTCCTTGAGCCACAGGACTGCCCTGTCTTTGTTTTCTTAAGCAATCCTTTACCAATGTTAGAAAAAGAAACAAACATACTTAGCTCACACAGTGTGAATACGGACCACATAGGATCTAGCCTGCGGACTATAGCTTGTCAGCCCCTAGCCTGAAGAATTGCATTATTAGAGCTTTTAGACAATGCCTTTTATGTCCTGATAAGGTACAGCATGCATTTATTAAGTATTTAATGGTTGATAAGAACAAGCCAGATCTTTTAAATTGCTGTTAATTCTGAAGTTAGCAAGGAAAACAAGGTTGTAAAACTTCCTGGGCACGTGCTGTCTATGAGGCATCATAGTTGTCTTAGCCCATTTTTTTTTTTGAGACAGAGCCTCAAGCTGTCCCCCTGGGTAGAGTGCCATGGCATCATGCTCACAGCAACCTCCAACTCCTGGGCTCAAGCGAGTCTCCTGCGTCAGCCTCCCAAGTAGCTGGGACTACAGGTGCCCGCCACAACGCCCAGCCATTTTTTGGTTGCAGCCGTCGTTGTTGTTTGGTGGGCCCGGGCTGGGGATTCGAACCCGCCACCTTAGGTGTATGTGGCTGGTGCCTGAGCCGCTTGAGACACAGGCACCGAGCCTTAGCCCATTTTTCTAATCACAGCTATTAGTCCCATCAGCGAGCAAGGTCCCCAGCTGACCCTTGACCTTCAGAAATGTAAGTCAAAAGGGAAACTTCAAGTAAATGTGGAAAATGGCTTTTTATTTAAATACAAAAAATCAGAATTAAGTGCAGTAAGATTGAGCATTTTTAAAAAAGCAAACAATTTAGAACAAAACATTTTATTATTAAAATAAAAACCTTTATATAAAAGCATTACAGATCAAAAGCTGTATTTACAGTTAGTGATTCAATGTCCAATTATGTTCCAAACACCAAAATGAGCTACACATGCAAGGAAACTAGAGGTGCAAACACTTAAGATTCCACCTCCAGCAAACAATCTGATTCATGTAGAAGACAAGGGAAGTACAGGCTATGGAATCTGCCCAGGAACTAAACAGGCAGAGACGTTGAGTTAACACACTGTTCAAAGTTACCCATCTCCACTGGCCGGCGCTCATGCCTGTAATCCTAACACTCTGGGAGGCCAATGTGGGTGTATTGCTTGAGCTCACGAGCCTAAGCAAGAGCAAGATCCCATCTCTACTAAAAATAGAAAAATAGCTAGACATGGTGGTGCACGCCTGCAGTCTCAGTTGCTCGGGAGGCTGAGGCAAAAGAATTGCTCAAGCCCAAGACTTTGAGATTGTTGTCACTTATCACGCCATGGCACTCTGCCCAGAGACTAAATACGTCTCAAAAAAAAAAGGCACTCATTGTTATAAAAGTGCTTATCTAAACACGAACCCTGTGTCTAGCTTATAATTTCTTCTATAAGCAGTTTGGCTGGGGCCAGGTTCGAACCCACCACCCTCGGTATATGGGGCTGGTGTACTACTCACCGAGCCGCAGGTGCCACCCCCATATACTAGTTATTAATATCAAGGTTTCCATGCAAAATGGTCCACAAATTTATTTGAATTGCCTGACATAGGAATTGAAATAAACTTCGCAAACTGCAATTCTACTGAAGTCCCCCCCACCCCCGCCCCAGTTTTTGGCCAGGGCCAGGTTTGAACCTGCCACCTCCGGTATATGGAGGTGGCGCCCTACTCCTTTGAGCCACAGGCGCCACCCTCTACTAAAGTTTTAAACCAAGAATTCCAATCAGCCTACTCCTGAAGTTTCACCATTCTAATTTCTCAAGATGTCTTTCCTATTAAGTTCAAATGTAACACTGTCCTCAAACCTTTGGATCATGATTGTGTACTAGCTGGATGCACCACTTAACCTTAGGGTAGAAGAAATTAGCAGCAACTAAGTCTCAACTGTATAGTAAGTACCGTGCATGGAATACTTGCATGAGAGGCATCTGAAATAATATACTGTACAACAATTACCTAATTTTTCCACATGATTTTAAGACTTTTGTGCCTTGATTCTGTTAAAAATGTCAGCTACTTTGAAGACTAAATTATACTCATTGTTTTTATGTAAACAAGTTAGAGGACTGTTCTCTGAAATTCAATAAATCTAGTTAGTTCACTCAACCACTGTGTTTCTAAGTGCTTGGGTTTGATGGGTGGATTCTAGAGCTATTTCAACATCCACTAAATCAAACGCACTTCCACAAAATTGTCACTTAAAAGGAATTCAGAAACTAAGCCGCAGAAGGGGACCATCAGAAATAGAGGGGAACGCTATGAGGTGGGACCTCACGGGAGAGGAGAAACTGCAAGAGGGCAAAGTATAACCAGTGATATGCCTTCCGTGATGCCCCAGAAACACATGTGTCTACTGAGACTAACTTGACTGGAGTTTCCTTTGAAACAGACTGATCAAGATTCTTGATTGAGGTTTCAATCAATGACAAAACTGAAAACTTTTAAGAAGGGAGATCTGAGAAGTGGAAGGCAGGCATCAAATTTTCCAGATCCTATGCTTGCATTTCAAATTCCTGTTTCAGACTGTGAAAAGAGAAAAGGGAACATGTTCGGATATAGTTTTCAACCTCAGAATTCTCTTTTGAAAGCCTAATTCATTAAAAAAAAAAAAAATTTTATTGAGCTGGAACATGCAGATGATCACGTGTACACACTTTAATGTGTAACTTGAATTATATACACACCTACCCAGGTTACCACTGCACAAGATATAAAATGTTCCCAGCATGCCCCACATGCCCCTTTCTAGTCAATACCCAGCCTGCCAGAGACAACCACCATCCTGACTTCAATTACCTTTTTATTAAGATATGAAAGAACGTAAGATTCAGGTGCAGAAGAGAAGAAAAAGCAGCGGCTCGGCGCCTATAGCTCAACCGGCTAAGGCGCCAGCCACGTACACCTAAGGTGACGGGTTCGAATCCCCAGCCCGGACCCGCCAAACAACAATGACGGCTGCAACC